CGGACGCCTACGCTCGAAGCGTCGAACCATGCGTGCGGGAGCGAATCCGGAAAATATAGACAGATTGAAACAGCGAGAGAAAGTGCGGCCGAGCGATCAGATCCGGGTTTTGCTTCTTTCCTCTGGCCGGCACCATTAAAGCGCGATCGGGACTCTGCGAAACGAATGACTAAAGTGATTCTCCCTCTATGGGAAAAGTGTGTAGTTAAAGGCGAGTGGTGGCAAGAGCCGCGGCGCGAGGTGTGCAAGCGGCCGCGGCGGCTTCGGGCGGACCCGGGACGGACTCGGGACCATTTACTTAATCCGCTCCCTAGATACTCCCGTTCATTCAGCTGCTCGCTAGCTCGCTCATCCGTTGCTCCGTCCGGTCGTCGTCCATTCATTAATCCACGCATTTATTACGCCTTCCATTCGAGAATCCATATACCTGCAGGAACTTTTGTTCCGTGCCCGCTCATTTAAGCACAATCCCGCGAGCGCATCCGCATTCCCTCAACTTTGTCCTACACCCACAAGCGTGTATGAGCGTGCGTACCTACGTACGTACGTAGATCTGCAAAGCATTGTCGTTTTGTTCTGGATGGATATTGATGATCCGCAGTCATCGGTCGATGGACGCAGATGACTGACTCATTAGGCCGTTGATTCCCGTCGGAGCCGATGCCTATAATTCATGACCGCGAGTCGTAATCGATGGAGTTGTTGATGCCCCGTGCAGGTATCAATTGTCGTCGTATGTAGATAGGTCGATGAGGCAGGTGACAGGAATAATGTCTCCTCGGATAACGCCCGCGGTCGCGGTAGTGCACGAGCTCGGATGCGGAGCGTCCCGTCGTTATCCGGTGCAAGTTGGCTCTCATGACAGCCGTTGAGCTCTCGTCATATCTCTTGGATGTGTGTGCTCGTGTGTCGGGGTGGTCGAGCAAACGAGTGTACGAGATCTTCTTCGAAGTATTCTGATCCGAGGTCATCGCCGAACTAGATAGCTACTATTAGATCGAGAAAAAGAGTGGGGGAAAATAAAGAAAGACACGATGACAAACAGGAATGCGACACCAAAGCCAAGATCAGATCCGTCCGTTCTCCATCGGTCCGTCTTCCCGATCGGGGATGAGGACTGGGCGAACGGGGCCGGCAAATCGAGAAAGATCTGATCCATCAGGAACGCAAGACCCTCGCTCCGTTCGTTGCTCGGTTGGCTGGTCCATCGGTCGCTTGCTCAGTCGTCGCCGGGGGGAGCAGGCCTGCGGCAACGACGGCGGCATAGAAAGACGCCAATATGTCTGAAAGTCAGTCGGCAATTACAGCGGCAGCACACAGTCCTACAGACAGAAGACGGCGGGACGGAAGAACGCTGTCCGCTTGCAGCTCGGTATGCGCAGCCTGCGACGCTCGAGACTTCCACATCCTGCCGGATGCGGCCGCGGTCTTGGCGGCGGTTCGACCGCTTTACGTGCTCCTGAGTCCCCGCTTATCGGACGAGTCTGAGAAATCCTTCTCCTCCTCTCTCCGTTTCCTCACGCTCCTCCTTCGACCCCTCGCCGGCGCCCCGCGATCCCTCTCCCCTCCCCCTGCCCGATATCTTGTTGGCCTACGTCTCGTTTCGCTTCCGTTGTTTGACTTCTGTCGTTCGTGTGATTCATGTCGCTTCTGCCGTCGTTGGCTGCTCGATGCTAATGCAGATGTCGGAACTGACAAAAACAAACAAAATTGAACGGACCGGTCGGTTGACAAGCCGGTGCACATGTCGAACCTCGTCCTCTATGTCAGAAACGCCGTATGGAATCGCAGGTGAGAAAACGCGATTAGGGCGTTGAGTGGACGGGAGAAGCGAACGAACGTCCTTGACGAATGCACTCGGCGGTTTGTTGTTCGGTGGGTCGGTTTGTATGTTTGTTTGTTCGTACGTTCGCTCGTCTCGTCCGCTCCCACGCACAGCCGAGTGAGCTAACTGCTGGCCGACACGCCGTTCTGTCTCAAGGCGGGTCGCTTCTGAACGTTAACGGCAAGCCGTCAGCTATCATACAAATGGCTAAGCGATTGTTTGTTTGTTGTCTTGTAGTAAGTGTTTGTGCGCTCGGGTTTGAGCAGCAATGCGCAGCGAGCTCAGCTCTGCACGCAAGCAGACATAACGAGACTTCACTCCGTTTCCGCGTCACGCACGACAACTCCACCGACTTTCCGGGATGTCCTGCTTCAGACATGAGCGTTTGTCGAGGGCTCGCTACAGGATGGGTGCATCGACGTCCAACTTGGGACGAGTTGCTTAGATACCCATCGAGGGATCCGGATCTCCGGAGGCACCTCGCACCGCTGGGGAATTCATGGGTGGAGGGGAAATGCGATTTCGAGAGATTTAGAACGAGACGAACGACTTTGTTTGAGCACCGAATTTCCGCTACAGATTTTCCAGCTCACCGGGATCTGTGATGCGCTTCCGGCTCAAGTCGACTTGTGGCTTCATGACGTGTTTGTTCGCGATTCCTCTTCCCCCCCACTGTCTCTACATATTCCTCGGGCTCGAAAAGACGTTGGACGCAACTGGGAGCGAGCAAGACTGACTCGAGATGACACGGCCTTTCCCTTCAGTCGTCGAAACTCTCTCCGCTGCTGTTGCCGTCCGCATTACGGGTTCAGATCCCGCTGCTCGAGTCAGAGACGCTTTTAGAGTTGCTTTCCGCTATCCCGAACTAGCTCTGCCGCCTGCCTGCTCATCCACCCACCTGGCCGCCTACGCGGCTCGCAGACAGTGGACCTGCCGGCCGTCTGGCGGGCTGCTTGTTGTAAAGTGGGGAAACAGACGAAGCTGGACTGCGAAGAATCAACTTAAGTGCCGGCCAACACCAGAGTGTCCGCTCGAGCCCGGAGAAGCGGCAACAACGTCAACATTCCATCGGCAGCAACAGTTGCTTTTTATGCGATCCACGCAACGCCCCACCTTCCGGCCATTTCCCGGGCTTTTTCTTGTCGTTTCCTGTCATTTATTCTCCATCTCGTTCTAGCGAGGGCTGTTTGCGGGTATCTCGCTAGCGAAATCCCGATGGTGCTCTGGACTGCTTTGAAACGCTATCAAGTGAAGTTTACGGAACCAAACCGAATGGTTAAGTCTCACAGAATCGAGCCGGAGAGAAATCTTTCCATCAAGGGCTTGAGCAAACGGCTCTGTTTGGCTTCTCGTTGTGTACTCCGATTTCCAATCCGGCAGAGGATCGCTCCTCGACCGGAGCGCTCACATTCAGCGCACGTACTCGGTGAACTCCAGAAGGGCCGTGCCCCCTGAACAGAATGACGGGGAACACGTGTACGGTCGATTACGCACGGCACCCAGAACAGCTCTGACGTGGGCACGAGAGTCGGATGCCGTGGATTGCGGTGGACAGGACGAATCATTCCATTTACCGTGAATATTCTAATTGAAGTGCAGTCCCCAATAGACGGGCAGTCTCTAATAAACGGGCAGGTTGGAGGGACCGAAGAAATAGACGGCCAGTCT